CTAAAAGACAAAATTTACTAAGAGCTACAAGAAGAGGAAATTGTGGAGAGCCATGACTGTCCACGTCCTGAAGAAGATCATACCAAATTGCTTCTTTTCAAATTGCTTCAGTATTATGATATCCTAGAAGTTTCTCTCTCCTCTCCCTCTCTCCATATATATATATATATATATATATATATATATATTTGTGTGTTTGTGTGTATAGTCAATAGATAAATTGAAGTTCAAATGACTTATCTTCTAACCTGAAAGGATGTACAGGTGGTGTAATGAATAACGGCTTGGAATATGAACTCAGAGAGCCCAGTTTAAGTTCTGGTCAAGTTCATCACATTTATTCGTTATGTACAAATACCCTTAGTAAAGGCATGACTTCATCTCCCTGCCCTGCTATGGGTTAAATTGTAGTACTTGTATTTGAAAAAATCATAATTTTCAAAAAATTGTTAATGCAATATTCACACGTGAAAAAAAAAAATTTCTTACAATTCAAAATATGTTTCAGCTTTAAAAAATGACGCACAAAGGGTTGATAAGCCATAAAAAAAAACAAATCAATGAATCAATCCTTGAACTTAAAGTTTCACAGAAACACCATTCTGTTAGTAAGGACAATATAAATCTATTGAATTCATTAATAGATTGCACATTTGTTAAGCGTTATTTATAAAGATTATATATATATATATATATATATATATATATAGAGAGAGAGAGAGAGAGAGAGGATTTATGCAAAATATACATTTTATATATATATATATATATATATATATATATAATACAAATATGAAATTTGTCACTTAGCAGATTGATGTTATATTCAGCATCCTAACTTGGGAGTTTTGTAGACAAACCTTTTAGTAATCATTCTGTTCACTCACCAGGAGGTACCAGCAGTTGACATCTTATTTTCTCATTTTCCTTATCTTTATTTTAAGTTAAAAAATAATATTTCATGCACTTTTCATTGGTGTAAGGTTGATTTTTTTTCTTCTTTCATTATGTGTGTGAGTGTGTGTGCATTCGTGTGCATGCATGTGTATGCTTGAGTGTACATGTGTTTGTGTGTATGTGTGTGTGAGTGTGTGTTCTCGGTTCACTTTGGTGGGTATTTAAAATTGGCATTACATCATACTGATTCGGCCACCCGAGAATTGTGTACTAAATGTTTTCATGAAACTCTGAGTAGAGCCTGGCCAATGGAGACACCTTTCTTATGAAGAATGAAAACATTTGCTCTGCTATGAAGCATTAAATATTTTTTCATCGCCTCAGGGACCATTACCTTCTCCACCCCACTTGGTAGATATTTTTGATTATATATATATATTATATTATTATATATTTGATTATATATATATATATATATATATATATATGATTAAATTAGGAAAATCTTTATAAATTGAACATGTTTTGCAACTTAATTAGCTCCATCAAATTTAAAAAATGAAACATAACTCCGCATTAATTCAATTCCCATAATTTCTGCTGATTCTAAATAAATAGTAAAACATATTCAATTTATAAAGATTTTCCAACTTGTTTCTTATGTGATGATTCTGTCAAATTTAATCCATATTTTCAAATATATATTTCTAAAGAATTAATGGATTTATTTTTAATCTAACATTTTTATCAATTCAAATGTTATTAGAGTGTATACTTCATATTTGAAATAGATGCTCAATTTTTTTAAACAGTTTCTATTACGTTTAGTCTATAGCCTGCGCACTTTGAGAAATCTCAATATGGGGGAAACAGATTTGTTTCCTGACTGAGAGAACATTTTTTCTTTATTGAGATCGAAGAGAACTAGAGGTTTAAAACATAACATCTAACAAATTTTAATATTTAATATTTAACAAATTTTAAATATCTTATTCCTACACTGAATACAGTCCATTTGTCTGGGTTTAATAAGACTGACGTACTTGGCATCAGTTGAAACAGACTATACCCATGAAATAATTTTGGATTTCTCTGTTATGTAATTTATATGCTCTGTTATAATAAATACATTGAGCTCTTTTTGTGGATCAGTTTTAATATTTTATATTATTAGGACTCACTTGGATTATATACCAATGGATTTTTTACCTCTACTATATATATATATGTGTGTGTGTGTAAAGATGTGTTTGGCAATCTGCATGGTTAATTCCAGGGAGGATGTAATTCAGAGAGCTCAATGTAAAATTAATTATATTAAGAAACAGACAGCTTTAAGGGTTCATGGGGATTATAATTTATTTCCTTATAATCAAAATTCAATTCTAATTCCTCAGATCAACATTTTCATACAAATAAATGGGTGACAAATATTCCAGGTATAAGAAGAATTCAGTATTATATATATATATATATATATTGGAGTTTCATGCACGATGCAATCTTCACCGTTTTATTAACACCAGTACTATGTTTGATATATTACGCACTAACTTAAATGTCGCCCGATATTTTTATTTATATATATATATATATATATATA